TCCAGGGATAAAAGAGGTCTGCCCCTTGCTACGGCCATGATGCATGTAGACAGATGGGGCAGGAACTCTGGAACAGACTCATTAGCCTGAAGAGGATGGACAAGGAGTCGAGTCAGTGACACAGGAGTACACGGCAGTATGGACACTGCACTGCCCTGAATTGGTCATGCTTGACTCGCTGGTCCCGGCCTGGACTTCTGAGGCCAGACACTGGAGACACCTTCTGTCACACTTGACTTGTGTCAACAATGGCAGCATCTTCACACCATGCATGTCCAATGGACTTCACGGTGCCAAACAAGAACAAGAGAGACTTCACTGCCAAGATCATCTGTAATCTGATATGGTCTCCAATTCTGTTTTTATATGTCCTTAGATTTAAAATTCACAGAGCAGTCTTAGTAAACGCTTTCAAAATGCAGGTCCTCCAACTTAACAGCCACTAGTAAATGGAATTCCAAGCAGACATGGGAAGAAAACGCCATTCATATGTGCTGAAATTTGAGCAAAAGCCATGTAGAAGAATGTTCAGAATGCCTTCCCTTTCTAAATGTTTGCTCTTGACGTTATAAAATCTTTCTTCTGAGTTTGGTAACAGTACGAGGCTCTCAAGGCTGTCCCTAAGAAGCACACATTAAAACACACAGTCTTCTGATAGTTAATGCCATCTATCCTCAAAGGCTCTTACTGATCTCGGAGATTTAGTCAGTTACATGGATAACAGTATTTGAATTCATATATTTCAATAACAAAGACAAATTTTGCTTGAAATGTTTTGCTTAAGAAAAGACCTTCCATGAAAGGTAGAGGAAGCAGGAATAGTGGAAAAACTGAAGGGGAGGAAATAGGGCACAGGTTGGATATAAATACATTATATGCATATATTAATAACATTTAAAACAAAAGGAAAAGATACCCACGTATTTCATTCTTTCCATTTCTCCCACTGTTCATTGAAAGTGAAATGACATGACTGATAGACACACATGCATGTGGCTTCCCAAAACTCCTGACACTCACATCCGCAGGACAGAAAACCCAGGAATAGAGTCATGTGCTTACAGCCAAATGAGTTTTCACAAAGATGCCAAGAACATATATTAAGGAAGGAATCTTCCATAAGTGGTACTGGGAAAACTCAGCACCCACACACCAAAGATAAAAGCAGACTGCAAACACAAAACTAAAATCAAAATAGATCAAAGAACTAAATGCAGAGCGTTAAACTATGAAATACTAGGAGGAAACATGGAGGAGATGCTGGTCTAAACAAAGACTTTCTGGACAGCATCCCCCAAATGCAGACAACAAAAGGAGTAGAGATGAGAGGATCTCATTTCAACTTGGCACAACAAAGACAAGAATTGAAAAGGGAGCTGAGAGACACAGGTGAGACATTTGCCAAAGATTCATCTGAGCAGGGCTGATGCGTACAACATGTGAGGGACACAAACCACTCAACAACGGTAAAACTTGGCAGCACAACTATAAAGTGGAGAGATTATCTGGATAGATACTTACGTTTTTAAGAAAGGAAGAAACACAAATGGCCCGCAAATTTGAAGAAGGAATTCTCGGCATCACTAATAATCAGGGGAAATAGAAATCCCAATGATGATAAATACGCCACTTTACCCTGGCAAAAGGGCTATGTTGGGGGGTGGGCAAAATCAGTGAATTATGAAGAGAAGCTTACTCTTTCCATTGTGGGTGAGAGTAGGAACTAGAATAGCCAATATTGGAAATGGTGTCAAAAAAGAACTAAACTAAAAATGAAGCTACCAGGTGACCCATCAGTTCCAGGGGCCAAACAAAGGCCCACCATGGAATAAATGGGTAAGGAAATGTGGGGTAAGCATACAAGGGATGCTATTCCACCACAAAAAGAATGAAAAGCCCATCATTTCCAGCAACATGATGTAGCTAGGGGACACGCTGGTTGGAATAATCCAGACACAGTAACCTATGCTGTTATATGTAGAGGCTAACATAGCTTGTCTCCTCAAATTTGAGGGTAGAATAGTGTTCATAAACTCTATAATGGGGGGAAAGGGATAAAGATAATATCGGTTACCAATCAGCACACAGATAGGAATAAATTCTAGTTAGTGCACTCTAGAATAGTAAGGTTTTAGACAGTAACTGCTTTAAAGATTATGTACCTCAAAAATATCTTGAAGGGCCCAAGGGTTCCCTGCACAAAGAAGTGATGAGTATTCAGATTTGACATCACATGTTCTGCATAGGTATAAAACTGTCACAATATGCAATGTGTATGCTATATCAGTTGAAGCAAAGTTTAAATATTAAATACACGTGACTTTTCCACTGAGCATGAGGCAACCTTCTGGTGTCACAAAATGGGGTCAGGAATGCCCCTTCTTGGGAATAAACTCACAGATGTGCAATGGAAATGATACCCAAGGAGAAAATGCAGTGAGACAGGGGATTTTTAATTCTCTTCCCATCAGAAGGTGTTACGTCAGAGAACACTGAAACTTAGACAGTTCAAATAGAAAAAAAAAAACAGGTGCTAGAAAATGGGGATAAGTCAGTGTGTACTGTGTGTCAGTAACACATACGAGCATCTCTTTCCTGTGGCTGGAGAGTCAAATATTCTTTATTAACCCAAATGGTTCAAAGCCCAAAAGTGAATGTCTTATTCAGCTGAGCAATTGCTGAGTCCTCTGGAAAGACAATAAAGACATACTGGGGATATAGAGCATTGTTAGTAGCTTTGTTACTGAGAAACTAATGTGGCAAACTACCTACAAACATTTCAAAGGCAAGAGTTAAGCTGCTATAAAATGGCAGAATTATTATAGTCAACACAGACACTTCTTTTTCAGACAGAAGAGCTGAGATATGCGATCTAGGATGGCATGTCTGCATAGAAGGTCCATGCTTGGTTTTCCTGCTACTGTGTCGTCCTCAACATACGTCTTCCACTCTGCGGCTCGAAGCGTCTGCTCTAGCTGCTTCAACCACACCCCAGTTCTCACCACAGGGAAGCAACAAGACAAACTTCTCCTTGTACATGAGCACAAAATTCAACACTAGCAAAATGTCTGCTAACACTTAAAGGGGTCATACCAGCGGTTACATCAAGAGCAAGGAGATCTGAGAAACGAGTGCTTTGATGCTTCACTGTGTACCCTACTAAAAATTCTATTAACATGAGTAAACGAGAAAATGGACCTCCGTGAGGTGCAATCAGCAGTCTTTGCCACAGTGACTACACCACAAGTTGAGTAGGAAATCATACCCACTGTCACTAGTGGGATCAATTCTCAGATTATCATTTTTGCTGCATGAGGCTAATTTCCAATTACATCCCCATTAAGGTAAATGTTGAACCAAGGAGGAAAAGCATATATGCCATTACCCTACCACGCTTCTGTGACCTTGACAATGTTAATTCGATGAGGGTAAAGGGAAAAACTGGGACACAGTGTGCTTGCTTCTACAACTGAGAAGTTTAATGATTTCCTGAATGTGTTAGGCACAGAGTGACCTGTGATCAGATCAAACTACAAGAGGGTAGCTCAGATCTGGAGAAAATTGTATCAGGTAAGTAGAATTGGAATTGAGTACTTATTTGAGAGTTTAAGTTACCTGAAGTTAACTCTGGTCACCAATAAACTAGGCATGTATGAGATACACAGTAACAACTTACACACGTGTAAACAAGTTAGTGAGATACACCGTAACAAGTTTGAAATACCCAGCTCCTTGCAAAACTCCTTTAAACATGACAAAATAAAATTTATTCTTTCTTACAAATATTTCCAATATATCCTACATGTTACAGGCACTTCATTTATATGGCCATCCCTACATTAAGCACTGGAAAACTTGGAATTTTAAATGTTGTCAGTCCTGCTATGATTTCCCTCTGCTGGCTGGGTTTCTAAAAGTAAAAAATTTACTAAGTCAACATCACTTGGGACTGCTATTTCCATTTCTAATGTCTTCCTCTGGATACATGATCATTTTTACTTGCTTATCTGATGTATTGGTACAATATTGAATGCATCACTGTGGGGCTATTGATAGATAATAACCTTTCCTGCCTCCCCCCATTTTTATACAGATTAGTACGATGTTAGAACAAAGCAAGAACTACAACAACTGAAGAAACTAAATAGACACAGGAAAGTCTTAGCAGCAGCAATCCTAAGGTGCACATGCATTCATTTCAGAAACTTTATCCTGATAATTTAAAAACGGGAAAACATTCCAATATTTCTAAATATAAAAGCAAAAGACTAAAAGAAACTAAGACAGTCATTGTTAAAAGTTTTTGCTCATTCGTTTCATGAATCCAGTAGCAACTTAAATTCTATGAAAATATGAAAAATGTTTGTTTCAAATAAAATATGTGTAATTCGCAACTTTTTGCAACATATGGTAATATAATACATGATACTAATTGAAAATATTCATCTTTCACATTTTATCACCAGTTACAAAGCTGCAATGCTTTTGTAATTTCTCAAATTTTAAATTATTCTTTTCCCATATATCATATTCTGACTGAAGTTTTCCCATCCTCCCCATACCTTCCCCCCCAATCCACTCCTCCTACATTTCCCTTCAGAAAAGGTATGCCTCCCAGGGACATCAACCAAACACAGCACTTCAAGTTGCAGCAATGATGATGATGATGATGATAAATAGGCACCTCTCTTTGTATCAGGCTAGATGAGGCAGCATAATCAGAGAAAAAGGGTCTCAAAGCCAGGCAAAAGAGTCAGAGACAGCCCCCACTTCCAATGTTAGGAGTTCCATGAGAAAATCAAGCTACACAACCATAAATATCATCCCTGACACATCTTGGAGCACCAGGAACCAGAGACTGGTGACCCAGAGACCTTGGATAGTACCAAACAAGACCTGAGAGGGGGGAAAAGGGCAGATTTCACAATGTTTTAAACTTTCAAAATTATCTATAATGAATTGGAACCCCTACATAAAGTGACATAAAACCTCAAACTCACTTTGTTTTGGGACTCTTCTTTCTATTCGCACTTTCCAAATTAAATTTCAAGAGTTCTTCATGGTAAGAGGAAGATATTACTCCAAACTTATTGATCACCGGTGACTTGTTAGCCGGCATTGTTACAGATCAGAAACCTAGAGAAAAATTGTAAATTCTTGTTAGAATACAACACAATATAAAATAACAAATCATGTGAAAACTTATAGAGTATATCAAGAAGAAAACCATGCAGACTGAGGAACAATTTAAACTGACTTGTAGGAATGAAACCTAACGTTGGCGCCCAAACCCACGTGTTTTCTATGATGTCACTGTGCAAGCTTATCTGTTCACATGATTTGTAGTCTTATTATAATTTACAGTCTTGTTTTCAAAACCACTACAAGAACAGTGCAGCTGGCTAGGAGAATGGGCTACACACACAACAAGGCCAGTGGGTGTGTGTCACTGCTCTGTGCCCAGTTCTCCACTCTAAGCAGGGAGAGTGACTCCATCCTGTGCCTGACAAGGGAGTGGTATGGGCTATGTCAGTTCAGAACAGGGACTGTCATATAGCAGGCTTTCCACTGAATGCTGGTGACTGTTTGTAGACCATTATGCTTAGTGGGGTTTTTTGAGACAATGTGTTGGTATCTTTTCACATTTCTCGTCTTTTGGTCATTATGCTTTCTCATCTATACCTACTACCCGTCTTCTGTTTCCTTCTGAAAAATGCCTGAGCATGTTTTTATGGATGTATAAACAAAACCGGGGCACGCTATTCATGTTGAATGGAATATTTAATGCAAAAATTAAAGAAATAGGTTGATCACATTTTACCGAAACATTTTTCATTTCTAATATAACTGAATTCAAAAGCTAATCCTTCACATCATTTAGCAGTTAGACAGAAAACAGAGTCCACACAAACGGAATAACTGAGGGAATTCTTTCTAAAACCATGGATAGTTAGAAACAAGAGGATGTTCTTAGGGTCTAACAAGAAATGAATGGGTGAGATACTTCTCTCAGGACCAGACTGGAAGACAGCCACAGAACCAAAGACTGCGGGAGAACGGAGCTTAATTTTAAATGTGTCCTCTGGCTGAGGAGTGCCACCAGCTTGAGGCTGCCCTCTAAGAAGCCCGGAGACAGACTCCAGCCCCAGCTCCAGCCCCATCATCTGCCCGAGCTCTGGGTTAGCCAAGCCAAACTGGAGCAGAAGGCAGATGAATGGGAAGCGGGCCCTGAGGGGCGACAGGACAGTGTCTGGCACAAAATGGCTCACAAATGTAAAAGGTGGTCTCCTATTGCCGTCGCTCTGTGGCAAGGCTCTCTCCCAACCACCCGCGCCTTTGAGAACGCCGAAGCAAAGCCCAAGGTCAGCAGCCTTGCACAGCAACTTCGGATGATGTCATTCAGAATGAGTGTCATTCCATTTAGTGTAGAATGCGAGCGACTCGAAGCAGAATTAATAAGCTAGGAGTATATTTTATTTAATCTGCGAATGCTGACTCTCCATTTCTGATTTGACCCTTGGTAGCGCTGGAAACTGGATACATCAGGCACCGGTTTCTAAACTGGGTAAGCAGTGTTGGCCCTTCTCTTAAGTGGCTTTGGTTTGTTTGTTTTAATCAAATTGTCAGTACGAATTGGAAGGCATCAGTAAAGGAATTACTAGTGTTTCTGTTGTTGCGTTTTCAGCAGGACACTGTTGCATGGTGTGGTACTTTGAGATCAGTTTTTCTTAAGTTTTTTCAACTAAAATACCTTTTAATACTTTCAATGATTTTTAACTTACATAAAGTCTTGTTCTCACTCTAGCATAACTAGCAAAGTTTAAATACAATTTTTGATAAATTTGTTCTAATTACTCATGACAAATAAGCCTTTCCGGACTATTTCTGTCAAGAAAACACAAAGCAGTTGTGACCATGGCCACAGTCATATATCAAATAGCGTCGAGCATATTTTCAAAGATAAGGAACCAAAATAATTTTTTTCCTTTTCAAACAATGTTTAAGAGGTTAGGGATTTTTTACCCCAGACCGGACTTTAATTCATTATTTGGTTTAGTATGACCTTGAACTTCTGATCCTACATTCTCTACCTCCCAAGTGCTGGGATCACAGCAATGTGCCACCAGCCTGGCCCTGTGGTACTGGGGAATGAACTCATGCTTTCTGCACACTAGGCAACACGCCACCAGCTTTATCTGTGCGGGTGTATCATATCAAGGTTGACATTTTTAAACTACTATGACAAAAGGGTGTTCTTTCTGAATACATACTGTGTAAGGAAGAAATAAATATTACCCTTAAGTTTTAAAAACCAAAAGTTCAAAGCTGAAAGGATTGTGAAAGGAAGCATGAAGTTTAAAAGCCAGTGGAAAAACTCAAATCATGGTAGTATCTCTTAACTGGGCACTCCACTACTTAGCCTTTAGAATGAATTCTGTTTTGGAAGCAACAGTTAAGGACTGCATCAAGACTGTTTCCTTGTAAGAGGTTGATTCTACAGCACAGACATCAGTTCACAAAATGCTTTCCAATAACACCATGTTTCGGTGTATTTTAGCATTAGTTTACAATATAGGAACATTGTCATAGAACAAATAAAGCCAGTAAATGTCTCCATTGCAACTTGATAAATGCACATATTGCTAACACTGACAATTGATATGCTACATTGCAATTTTAGCATAATAGCTAGACAGGCAGAATTATTGGGGCCAACGAGATGAGTCAGAGGGTAGAGGTACTTGCTGCAAAGCCTGAAGACCTGAGTTGGATCCTCTGGTCCTATGTGGTAGAAAGAGAGAATCAGTTCTTGGAAGTTTTACTCTGAGCCCCCAAACATGCAATGGCATGCATAAACACACACACACATACACACACATACACACTCACATACAGACACACTCACATACAGACACATACACACACAGAGACACACACTCACACACACAGTCATACACACAGACACATAAACACACTCACACATACTCACACACACATACACACATAGTCACACACACTCAAACATACACAGACACATGCACACACAGACACACATACATATATACACACAGTCACACACACAGACACATAAACACACTCACACATACTCACACATACACACACAGTCACACACACACTCAAGCATACAGACACATACACACACAGACACACACATATATACACACAGTCATACACACAGACACACTCACACAAACACATACACACAGAGACACACACACAGTCACACACACTCAAACATACACAGACACATGCACACACACACACACACACACACACACACACACGCACGCACCCACTCACGTGCGCACAGAGTCACCATTCTAGAGGTGGTGAAACCGGGGTAAATGGAGCTGATAAATGAGGCAGACTAAAGTCTCATGCAATAGCCAACTTTATTCATGCATGAGACTGTTTGTTCTCTGAGGGTTAAGAGGAGTGCTGTCTAAAACAATAGCATCCATGCTCACCATTGCAGCATCCAGGTGGCTAACTGCGTTCTTCCTTGTGACCCAGGATTCTAGACAACTTCATCAACAACAACAACAACACCAAAAAAGCATTCCCCCAAATGGAAGGATGCATGTTTCTGTTTTTCAGTGTAAACCTTCAGTACCATAAAAAAGAAGAGTCACATGAGTAAAATATACAATCACTTAGGAAAAGCACATGACAGGCAAGCCTCACGTGGCAAACACACGTTTTTCCATAGAAGCACATAAACAATTAATAATTGATGGGGGAATGTCCTTCTGTATATAATGTGCTTCTCTTACTGATTGATGAATAAAACACTGTTTGGACAATGGAAGCAGGAAGATAGGAAGGAGTAGGAGACGAGGAGAATTCTGGAAAAGGTAGGCAGAGAGCAGTCACTCAAGGGAGACTAACGTAGCCACCAAAGGAGTAACAGGTCCAGGCATTCTCCAGCAAGCAGCGACCACGAGGAAATACATAGATTTATAGAAATGGGTTAATAATTAAGACAGAGCTAGTCAATAAGAATCCCTAGTCATTGGCCAACAGTTTAATAATTAATATAAGTCTTTGGGTGCTTACTATTTTGAGAGCAGTTTTAAGTTCACAAAAAGGAGAAGAAAAGATAGTATCTGGTAGGCATTCTTCTTCCAGACTTGTGCAGCCCGCCCCGCCCTCCATATCTCCTGCAAGAGAAGTGCCCTAGTTAAAACTGGTGACTCTACGTTGAAGCGTCATAGTCAGTCCACCGACCACACGCAAGTCCCTCGTGCACACTTTACCAGTCTGAACAGAGGTGTGATGACGGCCGTCTGCCCTCGTACCACACATAAGTTTGTTTCCTCTCTGCTGAACGTCCTTGCTCAGCCTGCTCACCGCCCTTCTCTCTCACCCTCTCACCTCCACCACTAAGATGGCCACGCTCTCTCTGAAGCTTTGTGCTGCCCAACTAGAGCCACACACAAGGGTCTCTCAGATGTGCTTCTTCCGGCCCATAGCTTTCAGTCAAGGTCTTCCTCACCCTTTCATGGCGTATGATGGCACTTTTCCTCTTTAGTGATGGATAGCCTCCTGCTATATGAATGCACAAGCTGCTCTATTTATGGGCACGGCACGTGTGTGCAGGCTTTTCCACAGACTTATATTTGGAACTCATATAGGTAAATACCAACGTGTGTGGCTGCTGGATTGCAAGTATACGGTGCATTTTGTTTTATAAGAAACTTCTAAGCTGTCTTCCAGTGTGACTGTACTAATTGTAATAATCAATTGATTATTTGCTAATCAATTGATGAGAGTCCCTGTTGTCCATAGTTGCATCAGTTTTTACACTGTCGGGGTCTGAGTTCTGGCTGATCTGGTAAGTGTGTAGTATAGTCATTGTTTTAATGGATTGCATCTCCATGACTACATGTCACTGGGTTGTCTTTATGCTTTATCATCCTCCTCGGTGAGGTGTCTGGGAAGGGTTCTGTCCCATTTCATACGTAGCTCTGCATTCTCTTAGTATTCAGTTATAAGACTTCTCCGTACGTGTCTCCTGGCATTCCTTATTGACTGTAACTTTTGGAAAATGGAAAACATTTTCTTCTGGTCCATGCTTGTCTCCTCCTGCAGAGTGGAATCTAAAAGTCATTGCA